GACGCTTCGACGAAACCGGCTGTATCTTGCCGAATGACGATTTCCATTCCCGGAAAATGATGGGATACTCTCACATAATTACATTCTATATCTCTATGTTTCTCAAAAATTGGGATGTAGAAAATATTTTATTATGTGCGTGTTTTAAATATTAATTAAAAACTTTGCAATAATTATAAACAAATTTTTTTAGCCATTATATTACGATTTTTTGAAAACTTTCTTAATGACAATAAGAAACTTAAGATTAATGTTAAATTTAACTTTCGTGGAGTACTGTAAAAGTACTTTGAACAAACTATTTTACGCATTTTTGTGGAGAATGCAATTTTTCTTTCTGATAAACAACGAAGAGTCGTAGAGAAGGATGATAAATATATTATCGTTGTGTAAAAATTATGTTTTTGTCTTGAAGGCAAAATGAATTCAGCTTATCCAATAAGTAATGCAATAAATAAGAGCAAAATGTGCAAAAGCTGTATCATATGAAACTCTTTCGCTTGTCTGTAAGCCTACTACCGAACCAGATCGCTTGGCTGGTTCTAGGGACGATTTGTCCCACGCTGCTGTGACCAGCCTGTGGGAATAAGCCTGCGTCTGGAATTCGTGAGAAAACGTGGGAAGCATACACGACACCGAGAGTCTTGTACGGTCGTCGCTATGTGCCGAGAAAGCAAACATGTTCTCGGATCTTAAATTTTAGAAATATTAAAATATTAAAAAACTCGAGACACAGTTTTGGACTTACGTACTATTGGATATTTTTTTGTAATATATGAAGCAAATTTACATATAAAACGAGAATTATAAAATTAGAATATCTTGCATTTAATCCAATACACCTAGCAAATTCTTTTTCTCTATATTTGTCATAATTATTTCGATAATGATTATTAGCAAAAGCTTGATTTTATATAAAGAAAATAAAATAACAAATCAAAGATATAGAAATAAGTTTTTTTCTATACATCTAAACATTTTATGTTTGATACAATCAAAAGGAAAATTGTTAAATAAAATTTAAATATAAATTTTAAATGTCAAAGTAATGAATCACTTTATATACAATTATATGTACATTTTGTGATTAAAGGACTAAAGAAACCTTAAAGGACATACACGATAGGCGGCAGAGCTGCCTCTGCGCGTTGATACGTGCCGGATACTCAGAGCAGCTATTTCACCTCTAAGTTCAACATTTTCTCACGCTCACGAATTTCACCGTTGTGCCTCCGAAATCTCATTATTTTTTGTATGTTGTTACAATAAAAAAGCGTGCACCATGAGAGAGCTGGCAGGAGACCATTCCGAAAAGGCGACAGAAAGACATTCCGAAACCACACTAGGAGACTTTCATTTACGATTTTGGAGCGCTCCGCCCTTTAAAATGCTTTTCTAGACCCAACATAGACCTTAACATTCTTAACGTTGATTTTATGGTCCTAGCCACACCTACCAAGACGTAACAAGAGGTACCTGAAAGAAGAAAATGTCTTCTCTCCCTTCTTTTTATCAGCTTAAAAATGTTTTGACACAATTTATATAATTTTACGTTCTTGAAAAATATAAGTTATAAAATCGGTTTTAAAATTATTAATATAATATATAAAACCAAAAAATAGACGTAATTTATTATTCACTACCGATATGTGCAAAAATATTCTTATTATTATTATTGAAATGACGAAATATAACGTACCTACTTCCGCAAAAGCATTCTATTTAAACTACACTTTACATACACTGTACTATATTTAATGTTCAAGAATATTGACACTTCTATAAAATTTTCATTGCTCGCTCAATCTGGAAATATAGAAAAATAAAATTTATATTTAAAAAGTTATACTTTCTTTACGCTATAATACATTATCAATAATAATATTAATAAAAGAATCAAAAATAATGAACGCATATCGTCAAACAGATTAGAATCGTTCTAAGTTACATGTTTAGAAGAACCAGGCAAACATAGTGAGATGGTAGTTGGCCTAAGCTACACTCGTATGCTAGGAACAGCCTTGGAATCTGAAGGTCATTCTAAACCTACCAGACAGGATTCAGCGACCGGTTGAGCATGTCGATTCCCGCGGCACCTCCTCGCGCATTGCTCTTGTTGGCTGGAGACCCAACCAGCAAGCATTGGAGCGAGGAGGAGAGACTTGATATGGAAGACGTGTCTTTATAATTTTAAATCTACTACTTGAAATAAGAATGTACAATTATTTTTTCAAAATTATTTCGGCTGCTGTTTTCTAAACACAAATTGTCATGAGTATGCTGTGTGTATAAAAAAATTCTCCGTGGGAAAAAAAATCTGTAATTAACCGAATTTTGCTAGCTTAATGCGCTCTTATACGAAAATCGTTTTCTTGACTCATTAATCATCGTCAGTTGGTACGTAAATGAAGATGTGATTAATGGCTCGGTAGTAATTAATTTTGATGCAGTAATAAGGTGCTACCAGCCAAAGACGATCGAAATCTTTAATCTGATTGATGCCTCGAGATTTTCGTAATGTGCAGGTTGATTAAAATTACAATACCCGCAATTTCTTTACTTTTAAATGGTTATTACATTTTAATCGCATGAATAATATTGAATAAAGTGTGAGCAAAAATTTGACTTCTTTCTTGAAAGTTTTATATTTTATAAATTTTTATAACTTTTTGACAAATATAAACACATATACGAAAGCATAATTGCGCGCGTGTTCCACATTATCTGCTCATTGTTTTTACTGTAAAAAAATATTTAGTTATTTATATGCACTGAAACGGAGACGTCTGTGACACACAGATTTTCATTTTTTATTTAGTGTTTTTTTTTATTAAAATCTTAGACAACACTTAACATTGGCTTTCGCATTTATATTCGCGCTACAACCGGACGAACAAGTCGACCATCCTGCAATGAACGTGCGGTGCGTTTATATTCGCCAGTCGCATCGTATGCGAAACGTCATCTCCTGGGAATCATCGATGTTTCCCATACCCAGCACTCTCCGTTCTCACCGTGAAAGCGATGTGAAACCAGACGTTTCCCAAAGAGCATTCGTGAGATTTATTTCAAATCCAAACTTCGCATATTTTTATTTGTTTCCAATCGTTTCTAATTATCTAGCATTTTAAAAAACGGTGAATGATCAATAGACCGATAATTTATAGAATTACAGAACTTTGTAAATAAGTTTAATTCTTGTTTAATTTGCTTCGCATTATTGGTCTCTCTGAAAGAGAAATTATGGAAAAATAAATTTTGCGTAAATGTAAATGCAAAAAAATCCATTACATTCTCTGAGATTCAATAATTTATTTATATTAATTTACCAATGCACGCGTTAAAATAAAATAGTTTATAAATGCATATTCAAATATACTTTTAACCGATGAAACGTACATATACAATATATATTTATACATATATATTTTTTTATTGTATTTATTTTTATATTCTGCAAATCTCACACAAATATTATTACCAGTATTACCGATGTTGCGTACGATAAATAACGAAATAGCAGTTATTATTTCGATTCAATATTCAATCACTAATCATTAAATCGTTAATTTTAATATCCGATACGTGTTATATAGAAGATAGCGAAAATTCGGGTTTTGCATTTAGACTTGGCTCGGTGTTATTCGACCGGTGCCAGCCGGGAACGCGACCACACCCGGAAGTTCATGCTTTCCTAGTAAAGTGATACAGTTTATTGGACTTCTTCGGATCGGAATGCGGTACCAATGACATCCTTATCTCGATATGAGAACGAATAAACGGTTCGTCCGAACAGCTAATTCAAGATGCATGTCATATGCGTGTACGTGACGTTTTACCTGTCATTATTCTCTTACGTAAAACGTTGGATGCACCAGCTGCATTTTTATACTACGCTGGTGAACCGACTATGCCTGGCCAGCAAGTGTCTCGACTCTTACGTATGTGTTTTTTTTTATTATCAGTAAAGGCAGAAGGCCGAATTATATTTTGTACGTAATCATACGTGGAATTATATATATATATATATAAGAGAACAATCAAAAAATTATTTTATTTTTTTATACACATTTGCATGTGCAAGTTTTTTTTTTTAATAAGATTAAGAATAATATGTTTTAAAAATAGTTAATATTAATTATTATCTTTTATATGACGATTACAAATAAAGAAAAAAAAATAATTACTCTTACTGAAAGGAATTGAAGCCTATGAGCATTGAGTCGTATCGATCGTCTCTCGTTAGTTGCTTCGTTTGCCGCTACGCGACGTATTTTCTCGTAGTTAAGATTTAATTCCAAAAGCATATAACGTATACAATTCCAATTACTACTATCGCTTCTCGGCTCTCTGAGCTAAGATCAAATGTGTAGTATCTGTTCTTATCAGCTTAATATCTGATACAATCCCCATAGGGGATTCAGAATATTAAATTGATTTTTGAACGTTGGCAGATTTTCGGGGCTTGCTCTGGATCTGCTACTGGTCATCCTGACGTTGCAGTGAAGTCAGGAGTGGCCTTATAATTTATTTCCAAAATTAAGGATTTATTTCTAGGTTTCAAACATTTAAAATTTGCCTTTTTCAAAGAAAAGGTAATTGATGTGTGTGCAAAATAAATTTTATTCTTCATGTTGAGATTATTTGTCTATCTCGAGACAAATAATTTCACCGATCTCAAATCGAGATACTTAGAATGTATTAAAATTAATCTCACAACGGAGAATCCGAGAGAATGTACGAATTAAAATGAAAAATAAAATTTATTTTGCACCAATAATCTCCACTCCGAAGCGATAGCTCCGAGCTATTTAATACATACATATATTTGATTGATTATTGTGACTCTTTCATGCAATTTTAATCCCTTAATATTTTAAGGAGATATTTAAAAAATCTTTCTCTTTAAAAGTCTTAAAAATTGGCGATAGTTTTACAAGTTAAATAATTTGCGATAAAATTTAATGAGAAGAAATTGAAATTTGTGTTTGCTTTGACAGGTCATCAGTTGACGGTATTCAATAGCCAGTCCACGATCCAAGTAGGCGGACGATGGAATCGCAGCAAAGGCAGAGTGGAGCGACCATTCTTGGGTGTAATAGCCGGTCTGGTCATTAATGGTGCCAGAATTTTGGAGTTGGCGGCAGCCAAAGATGGTAGAGTCATGACCAGAGGAGATGTGCAGCTCTTACCAGCCGGAAGCCTCGTGGATCACGCCGCGCCGTTGCAAAAAATGCAACAGGTAATTTCCTTTGTAATTTTTATCAGTAATATCTTTTCAAATCTTAACATTAATTAATCTTGTAGACACCTGCATCCGGTTTTCCCGGTGTCATGGACGATCTTATATTCTCCGGCGCTGGAAGTGGTTGCGCCGGTGATGACGAAGACGAGGAATGCACGCCAATCTACGAGTCTGGTTCCGGTAAGTGTAAGTAACATTTCTGAAGACGTAAGTAATTAATTGTGCATTTGTGGTTTTCTCAAAAAGGAATTTTTATTTTTTTATTCACATGCGTGCTTACTCGTATAATATTTTGTCTACATTTTATAAAATTTTGTTTGTAAACATTTTTATTAGCGAAATTGCACGGATATCAAAGGCATTTCTTGTTTATATTTTTCCAATAACACAGCAACAATCTCTTCAATACATACTTCTTTTAATCTTATTTTATTGGTTTCATTTTTCAACTTTTTTTCAATATTTAGCAAATATCTTTCTAAGCAGAAATATATGTGTGTTTATATTTTCTACCTCTTTATAAAAGTTTTTTTTATAAAAGTTAATATTTAAATTTATTATTTCTTAAAAATTAATAGTAACAGCTTCTTTATTTGTCATTTGTCAAGAAAGTGTAGTCAAAAAAGAATTTGAGTGACTTAGTCTGATAGGATTAAAATAACATATCCCGCTTTATAATTTAACAAATTCTATTATTTATTTATAATTATAAGAAATTTTTTTATATTTTGTGTTTAATCTTTCTCTCATAAAAAATATTTTTGTAGAATTTACATATTTGTTGTAAAATATTAGGTTTACATAGATAATAAATTTTTAGTATATAAATTAAATATAAATATGAATAATTAAATAACAAATAATATGATTCTACCTATAACCTGTTATAATAGTGTACGTTGATTTATATATATATATATATTTAAGATATCAGATATTATATATTTAGATATTAGATATTATATATTTAGATAAAATTTATATGAAAAGATGCAGAATGATCCTTAGAACAAAATTCCTCTTTACGATTTTGCAATAAAATCATTAGTTTAAAATTTATTTGCAAAAATGTAGCTTTCTCGCAAGCGCGTGTGAAACCATCGCTCCGTATATAAGAGTGATGCTATCGATTACCAGCGTGTTGTATGAAAGGAGAGATGTTTAGCACTCCCCTAGGACAAGGACGGACACATATGTACTGGTAAGGCACGGTCGTCTTTGACGACTCTTACCAACACATTTTTTTTTATTAATTATAATGTATATAATAGAATTTGTTAAATCACAACATAAATTATTTTATTTTAATCTTTTAAACCAATTTTTTCAGATTAAATCATATTTTACGACGAATGACAAGTTTACCAATCTGATTCTTTAATTTAATATAAAATTTGTTGCTTGTATTGAATTGAAACATGAAAAGCACTTTGTACTTATGGCTTGACTTCACATATGTATAAATATACAATAACTATAAACATTATACAAGAAATTTTTAGTAAATAAAAATTTTATGATTTTTATTTAAATTTAAATTTATAATATAAAAACTGTTATTATCTATTTAATTGGATGTTCAAAAATATCGTATAGATTTATTAATAGACTTTACGCCTTACATCATGTTATACGAGAAAGGGCTTCACGTCGCGTACGCACACACAGATCAGCACATATCGCATGGCATGCTACCTTTTCATCTTCATGCTCGCCCAGTTATATCTTCGATTCATTTACATATTTAGTATCGTCGGCCAGAGATAAGCCCAGTAGCATCTCTTTTCTTCTTTCAGCAAACTTCTTGCAACGGACTGAGATCCCGCTCCAAAATCTTCTGTAACTGACTAAAAACTAAATTAATATTCTTATCTTAATGAGATGTGATAAGTATAACGATCAAATAACTTATCGCATTCATTGCATTGCACGCAACGTATCAAAACATTTCCATTAAATTCGACTATTTATCTCATTTAATTATCTTTTTACTTGCTGTAATTTCCGTATTTCTAATTTTAAAAAAATTATTGAATATATGTATATACAATATACATATACATATATTTCACGAGGAATTGAATATTGATGAAATAAAAACACAAATTTCGAGAGATTAATTTAATAATTGAAAAAAATTAATAATATTTTTTAAACAAGATTACGTTTTTTTAAGAAATTACTATTTATTACTACGATCTCGTACACATTCATAATTACACACTTCTTTTTCTAGATGACATCATTACGCCAGTATACGTGGCGCCTACGCGATTACCAACAACGCTAAGGCCAAAGCTGCACAAGGATAAAATCCAAGAACGACCGTCTTGCGACGACGAAGAAGATTGCGAAGAGGGTTCGGGCGATCCTAGAACAACAGAAGAGATTTTTGTCACGTCGACCAGCGGTCCGTATTACAGAATATTATTTTGTTTCTTATCTTTAACACATTCTAAGTTACGAAACTCAAAAGACAATGTCTCAAATTCTACATTCTTAAATTAAATATGAAGAAATTTATCCAGAAACTGCCCCTGACATTCATACTTCTGAAAAATTAAAATTATGTATTACATGATTATAGCAAACTCATGCATAAATAAACCACAAAATAAAGCATTTAATGTAAGCCGCTTAGTCAAACGATTAAAGATGATGAGAGTAGCGCTCACGAAAGCGTCGATCGATGTCGTCATTCTCGGTCATCAGCTTTAATGAACAATCTCCCGTTACGGAAATACTCGCAACGTGGGCGACCTGCTCAGTTCGTAACGACTTTCTATGACGTGCGCACCAGTCGTCGACCAAGTCGCCCACCGTTGAAAATAGCATCAACATGCTACCGGGGGTGAGATTCTATCCAGTAGTAAAGCTCGCTTCATTGCGACGTCAACGGGAATATCACCCTTTGAAGCAACGTATTCGGAATGAAATATAGATAGTTCTTCGTGATATTTTTATACATCTATTCTGACATTTCAAAATTGTAGTGTGTGCTCGTAAAACCAAGTGTTTATAATTGTTTAAAAGTAAATTCTTGCTTTTTGAAATCGACGAGACACGAAGTCTTGTAAAACTGTATTGAACTGCAAAACATTCTTCGGTAATTAATGCCTAAAGTAATGAATAATATTTATAACGAGTTTACTTACTAAGTTGCAACGAAACATTCATAATTTTTCTTTCTACACATTTATATGAAGTTTTAAGATTTGTTGACATAGTGAAAACAATTTTGTGAAATAATTTTAATACAGTTTTTAATACAGTCGACATAATTTTTAAAAAGTGATGAAATTTTTACGCGACTCACGTCGCCAAGTTTAGACCCCATGCTATGCATACTAAAACTAAAGGACTTAATTATTGCTCTGTATTTGAAATGTCACTCACAGGCTTCGTTTAGAGAGAGCACATTGCTGTGCCAGCGTCTAGCGTGTCGTAAACTTCAGAACTACATACATAAACATGAGATGTTTATGAACTACAACATGCAAAATATTTTTATCAAATTTAGATTCAGAAGATAAATGTGTTGCACTACTTTCTGAGTATGTTTTCGCTAAATTTCCGCTAAATTTAATTAAAAAATCGAGAGCTATTCAAGAACCTTATTTTAATTTAAAGCTAAATTTAATGCAAAAAAAGTCTAAACGGGGAGAAATTCAAGGCATTAATGACACCTAACGCGTACATACAATATATACATATATACGCTAGGTGCCCATGAATTTATTCGACTCGCAACGTCCTGCTTACGCACGCGTGAATATCGTCGGCCTACGCACGCGTAAATATTGCCGCCTCCACGTTTCATGTCCCATCCCATCCATCCCTTTTACTTCCACGCACCCTTTCCCCTTCTCCATCTGCCATCAACCCCTCCGCGCAAATCGCGCGTTAGAACGAGGCGAAACACAACATCCTGACGCACTTTTTTTTCTCTGTTCTCAGATATCAGCTCGGTGACATACACGACGCCGCGCGAGTACTCGACAAGCCATATCAGCACGCAGACGTCAACGACATCGTCAACAACGTTGAGCCACGACATCGTCACCGTCTCCGTCCAATACAATGTGTCAACCACAGATCTCGAGACCAGCCATGGCAGGTGCGTGCGTCTGTCAGCGGTTGCGTGTACAATTAAACGTAACGCTGTATCACAGATAATTATTTTCGATTCTTTCGTATAGTTTGGTTATAACTGAAATTAATATACATATTTCTGCGGATTCGCCATAAAATATGTTTTTCTACTAAAACTATGCATAATAGAAGGCATGTGCAATTTAAATTATTCTTTATTATCTAATAAACATATTTGTGGAGAAATTTTATATATGAGAAAAAGACTAATAAGTTTTTATTGAATATGATATTGAAAAATCTTTCACACACAGAGAGCAACATTAATAAGAGAAATTCAATTAAAAGAAATAATTTGATTATTAAAGTATCTTGAAAATCCGGAGCAAAACATTTTAGTTTGTTCGATAAGTGATTAGCAACGAATGATGATTATGTGGCTGTCGTAAACACGCACATTTCAAGAGATTTATTTTTTTAACAATATGTCTGTGTAACATGTATTATATTTTTTTGAGAAAAGACCGTTTATTGAATGCACGATGTATTTACAGCACCGCCGTGACGCACCGATCGACAACCGTGACAACGCCGTCAACCACAACGGAAATGACGGAACCGCCGCCACCACCCCCGCCGCCGATGTACCCGCCGATGCCTACTCCGCCCAAGAACAATAACAACAAGCGAATCACTTCCGAAGCGGCCGAGAACGCCGCGCTCATAATCGGCATCATAGCCGCCGCACTGATAGCGATAGTTCTGGTCATCCTTTTAATCCTCAAGTTCAAGAACCGGCCTGAGACGAGCTACAAGGTGGACGAAACAAAAACGTTCTGCCAGGATCCGAACGCGGCCCTGCTAGGTGCCGCAGGCTCCGGCCAACCCTTTAATGGTGCTCTCAAGAATGGCGCCAACGGCAGCAAAAATAACAAGAAACGAGAACTGATAGACATTAAAGAGTGGTACGTGTAAAGAGGCGTATGTTACACAGCGGAACACTATCTTGTGTGTTTGTGTAACGAAAATCCTCGCCGCCTTTCGTCACCTTTCGTCGTTTATCGTTGGAAAGGATGAGAAAGAGACGCATCATAGAGGAACGAAACAATTCTCGCGGGTGTGCAAAAACGCGTGCGCATTCTCGAGGAGAGCTTTTTCCTGCGCGTTGTGTATTATTAGACAAGTTTCACGAATGCGAGTTCCAAAAGTTTCGAACTTCTATTTCGAGAATCGATACCAATACGTGGAAAGTGTTCGAATGCTCTTCGCGAGAATTTTCTTCGAGCTGCTTACTGCGTAACAAACAATTTTCACGGAGATGCCTCGTAAGGTCTGAAAAGATCAACGCCGGATATGAACAGATAGTTATAAATGCGTATGCAATTCTCGAAGGATTTAAAAAGACATTCTGGCACTTCGAATCATCACCGCGATTACGCGCTGTTAAATAAAAATTCTTCTATGACACTTGAGAAGAATTTAAAGCAGATAAGAGATTGATCGACGATTATGATCAAGTATTCTTGATAAAACATCTTCTAAGAGTTCTTGCTTGAAAAGCGAGATCTCTAGATTGCACGCCCAGAGATAAGCATGTGTTTCCCTTTGGAAATAAGCATTTGTCGAGGCATCGATCTGATCTACGCTAACTTCGATTGAAAAATATAGGAAATTGTCTTTAATTCTAAGACGAATTGATCGTCAGGCAGGATGGATTGCGTTTAGAAAAGTCCCTCGAGCTCCTTGCTTTCGCGAAGAAAGTCAACGAGACGCGAAATATCGATCAACGATCTAGCACTGCTCCTCTTGTTTCCTCGACACGAAATCTCAGGACAAAAGCTAGACATGTGGCAAGGATCGAGCATCGATCGCGAACGTCTTGAAAGAATTTGTTCGTCTTTCTCATTTATCGCGAATTTTTGCAAACCGATTGAATAACGGCTTGCAACCGTTCCTCGCTCCTTTATTTTATAATTATAATTAATTAATAGTAAGAGCAAACACACAGAAAGATGATTCGGCAATTGAGAACTCAGTATTCATCAGCGAGACGTTGAGAAGCGGTTTTCGTCGCTCGATCCAGAGCAACTTCCCAAAGAGGAACGAAGAGGAAAAACAGATGCGACAGTATCAATAGTAGGCATTAATTAAAGGAAGAAACGTTGAAGATGATATTAGCACAATGACTGATTTGAATGAGTTTTAGGAAACAACTTGCACCAACTTGCCACGAGATAGGCTGTTTTATAGTTTTATGAATTTTACTTCCAACATTCTCTCTGTGAGCGTGAGATTGTCTTCAAAGATACGTCGAAAAATATATTAAGTTCAAAGTTGTACAGCAATTTCATGCTTATCTATTTCTTATAGAATTAGATTATCTATTTATTAAGAGTTAGATAATAAGATGTTGTTTGCGAGTGATTTGTAAGATCTTTTAAATAAGAAACGGTCTTTTAAGTGAGAAACATACATTAAAAACGGAATGCGTGAATGTTTCATATTGTTTATTGCTGTGAGATTTTATAGATGTTATAAAGATTCTGGAAGAATTGATTAGTGTTTTATACATTAATTTATTTATTACTTCAGTACATATATCTTCCTAGAAAAAGCAAAGCTCCTGCTTTCTAGAGAAAGCAATATTATGTAACTTTTGACGCAGAATTATATCCTGCCTGAAAAAGTGCTCCTCAAATACAATTTTTTGTACAATTAATTAAATAAGTTTATGTCTATGAATGTTATAATAAATTAAAAGATAAACTCTATAAAATGTGATATCCCCAAATAAATTTCGTCAATTTAATGCTATACTGATAGGTTAAATTCTTGATAGGTATTATTTATGCACATATTTTATATAACATCAGAAACTTTAATTATATTTTATTTTCGACGTACTCTTTGTGAGAACGAGATGTTGGAAGTGAAACTTTAGGGATGAGAAAATGTCGTGATCGAATAATCCTATTCTATCCTATTCACACATTCATTGTTGTATAGAAGAGCAAAAGAATAATATATATATATATATATATACATATATATATGTATATGTATATGTATATGACATATACATACTTATCAATTATGTTATGCGTGTAAATTGTTTGACGAATTAAATAGATTTTATTAAAGTCTGTTTTAAACGAAGGATATATAAGTTACACATTATAATAAGAGATCCGTTCGAAGAATCTGAGTGTGAAATACATTTAATGAGAAATATGAAAACGTATGAATTACCATACTTTTGCATTCTTCATTTTAATTATAAATTATAATTTTATAAGTAATTTATAAGTAATTATAGGTAATTTTATAAGAAATTAAGCTTTGTTTAAAATAATTATTTAAATACAATAATTATAATTTACATAATAATTAATGGATTATTGAATAATAGATATCGATATATTTCTTGTTTAATATGTTACACACTCGAATGTTTCACGCGAAATTGTATGTAAGTGATTCTTATACATATGGAAAGTATCTGTAAGTAATCCAAGACAGAGGACAAACTTAATAGGTGATTTATAGCATACGTAAATATGCTTATACATAAATACAGGGTGTGAATGCAGTATTGCCAGTACGAATTAGATGACGTTTAATGACGTCGACGTCGTATAATGACGTCGAGCATTAATTGCACGGCAAATCGCAAATGCACCGAGTCGTTTCTACCAAATTGCATTGTCTCCTCCTGATTGAGATTCACGAGACGACACGCTCGTTTTTATACAGGATGGCTTAGGTATCGTGCACTTTCTCTCAGCTATAAATTTTTTAAATAAATTCCAAGTTTATTTATCTTTAATAGGAATATGATTAAGTGCTGTTTATAATTTTGCGCTAATTGTAATTAATTTTTAATTGTGGTTAAATATTATGGTATTATAGTTTAACATTTTCTTTTGATAATTTAATAAATTAGAAATTTACTTTACTCAAAAAATGATATTACACTATTTCTACTAAATAAGAAGCTATTCTATATTAATGTAAAAATTTATAGATAGTGATAATAGCGATACCTTTGGAACATCCTGTATATAACTGTAAATTGTTAACTTAGTATTACTATTAACGAGGTTAATCGTTGACGTAAAGTTGACGATAATAAAGATTTTGTGAAACCTATTTGATTGAAGTTAAACGAAATATATTATAAAAACAATTTATTATTTCCCTATCTTTAGTTGATATAATTAATTATTGATACATTGAATATTAGTAACGTTTTAATAAATTGTTTATGAGAGAAACGTGTTCTCGCATTAGCTAATACAATATAATTTGTCTAATTTTTAACTTATTAATATAATTAATTTTTGACATAATTATTGACGTCGTTATTTTACTATTTATTATTATGAACAATGTATTTTTGTTTATGTTTAGTAATAATATTGATTTATAAAAAAAACTAAAAGCGCTAAAATTAACAACAATGACATCTTTCAATGTAATTAATTATTTTTTATTTAATTTTACTGTTTTATAACTATTATACCGCTAATTGTTTGGAAATGAAGAATAATAAATAGATTGTTATCATAAACGTAATTGACAATTAACACGGTTAATAGTAATAACAGGCTACGCAATGAAGACGCGACAAGGCGCGAAAAATCGTCGTAGAAAAAGAAGCAATAAATAATAAAGAGAGCTTAATATTTAAGCTGTTCTAAAACGCGGTTACACGTTGAGTTCCTGAAGCGTTGCTTCTGATCGACTTTCGAGCGCTCGTGACAACTCTTCGCATTAGGTCTGTTCTTGTTAGCTGTATTTTTTACATCCATTCTCTCTCGTTTTTAACTAGAGAAAATGTAACAAAGTGCTATTAGGAAGAACAGATTTTTAATGGGCGAACGCGAAGGGAGAGAGTGTGTGCAAATTGTCGTTCAAACGTACTTCCACGCCAGAGATGAGTAAAATACTATGGCTTAGAGTTCTAAGAAACAAAAACTCTTCTTAAATACTTCTCGCAATCTTCTGCATGCTTACCGATAGGAAACATGATTTAAAAAATATATAAATAATATTTTCATTATTTTTAATCCGTTCATTATGCAGAGAGATAATACATGTTAAAGTAATATCCATTTATAGAAATATGATTCTCAGTTTTATGTAGAAATTTATAGTTTTTATTATTATTGCTTAAAAGATTTCTTATTTACAAAACTTGCCGATTTTTATATATATATCCAAGAAATGGTTAACATTGGTAATTTTCAAAGCGAATTAGATCAGAAGAAACATCCTAATCAATCTTCGTATTTTTCAAAGTATCAGTACAGCATTTAAGCAGTTATTAATGTAGAAAGATAATGGGAATCTTTTTGAGAGGTTAATCTGTATATTTTTATACAAACAACAGAGGAGACCTCGCCTATTCTCGTGGAATATTTCTGATATTTTGTATTGAATAATAATTGGCATATACGATGACGCGATAGACATCGGTAGACATATTAATAGGCGACGAAAACAGTCAACTATCCCTGGTATTTGAATGGAAATTTTTAAATTTCCTGGTGTGGAAATAGTACTTTGCCCATCGCTGGTCGAGACTGTCCTTGGGCGATTACTCGAAAGCGAAAAAAAAAAAACGTCCGATTGTTATAAAGTGCTCTCGAATATTTTGTAAGTTACGAACCTTCTTCTTTAATGCACTTTGCACGTGAATCTTTCTTTACTCTATGCTACTCTATAAGACTCTATAACTCGGAATCGGTTGCTAATATTGATAGTTCCCATCTCCTTTATTCTTCTCTCCTTTCTCTCTTTCTCTCTCTTTCTCTCTCTCTCTCTCTCTCTTTCTCTAGCTTGTTCTCTTCTATATAATTGCTTCTCTCTATAGTAGATTTACAAAATTATTCACAATTTGCAAGTCGATAATGCACGTATCTCAAAGTAACAATCCTCAGGGAAGCATAATAAACGCTATCAATCGGAATTAATCGAAGCTCCGTAATCGATCGATTATTCGCTGATTATTAGCAGTGCTAGTTTAATCGCAACTTTGAAAGTTTAATCCCTCTATAGCATGTTTTAAATAAGGGTCATTCCACTTTAATTTATTTCAGATTTATCCAGTTTACATGTGTACACAGGATTGACAATTTTAGTGAGCAAATTTAAATTAGATTTTATTTTTGAAATTTAAAGTTTCTCCAAAAAAACTACTAATTCGACTATACTATTCTGTAAGTAACGCATCGAATAAGCTTCTTTAATTTTGAATTGCACAAAAACTAGGATCCACTATTGAAGCAAAAACTGCCGCTCGATCATCGCGATCCAATTTACGCGGACCGTTTTTACACTTAATGAGACATAATAAAACTTATCTCTCTCGTCTTCACCAGACTTGCAATTGTTCACACCTTCCTTCACTTCTCGAGGTCATTTGTAGATTATGAATAAGCAAATCAATATGTGAATTTTGTATATAATTATGTGGCTGAACCCTGTGTACGTGTGCGTGGGCAGTTTTAACGATATATCGATAACAACGATATTCCTATAAAAACATTTGTGCATTTCTCGTATATGCTTTTTCTTTGATAATCCATCATTTTTCAGCTAATCGCTACTGACATGTCTTGTAGATCAAAAAAGTCTCCCTACGATTAAAATTGTTTTTCATATCGTTAATAATAACATTAAAAGTACCTTCATAAGGCATCATTATCAGAATTTATCAGAATCTTTCTTTCTTCCGTTCTCTTTTTTAACGGAAGATCTATGATGCCATTTATCAAGAAAACACATATTGTTATCACTGCCCTCCAATTCTCTATCTGCATATCCTTCGATGTACTGACGACTAACGTTTATACTCTAAACTAAATTAACTTCTATAAAAGTATATTTAGTGAGCAGTATTACTCTACTATTAACTTGTATGTACACTATGTCGAACTTAAAAACGTGTCGCGAATAAGCGCTGGAGCAGTCGGATTCGTTCGAAATTGGCGAGTACATTAAACTTGTGCACTCCAATGTTATTTATAATTTATTAATTGTATATTCTTTATTTACTTTTTTTAAATTTCTGATTCGACAAATAAACATGCGAGTCACTTGAAGCGAAATATGTTATACATGAAATTATTAAACACATTAAAAACATTCGCATGCAATATTGAAAATTATTTACAAAAGATGAAGCTTTCATCAAAGTATTTAAAATTACTTTTTAATATTATTGACACACAAGATTCTCAAGAGCACAATAGAAAAGATGTTAAACCAAGTAATATTTCCAATTTAAAAAGTAAATGTCAATTTATAAGTTTAATAATAAATATACGCGTCCAGGATTAAAATCAACAACAAAAATTCAACAAACTTACTAAGAAACCATATATGCTAGTCAAAAAGAAAAATTATAAATAAGTATAAATACATCACGATAATACATTGAATGCTATATAATTATTAGATTAACATGTTTTAATCAAAATACTTGCTATTAATATTCTTATAATACTTGTTATAATTATTCCAACTATTATGATTATTCTTTGCATAAGTGATTTACTGCCAATACTGTTACTAATACTAGTATTATTAATTTATGTTACGTATAGAATATGTTATTTATTATATGGACATCATGAAAAATTACGAATATGCAAAATGGTATATTATTCGAATATTGACGGCTCTAGCGATCGCTTCACTTAAACTATCGTTAGTGCGACAAGAGCTGCAAATTTTGCGATTAAAAAAGAAGACCGTAAACAGAAGTATCAGATCGCACGAAAACTGATTGCGAGTTTCGTAATCTTAACTTTGTTATAGCAAGTTTAACAAAACAAATATGCATTTCAAAGCTCTCTTTATGTATTAAATGTCAGAGCAAATTGTTGCAAGATAAAATTACTACCATATTATAAAATTTCAAAACATTTTTCTTATTGCTGGATAATATTTGTTAATTGTTTTTGCTAAAGATATAAGATTGTATTTCTTACAAATATCTTTAGGACAGTTTTCAAGATGGATCCGAGCGGTCAATAAGTAATAAACATAAATAACTATGAACAAATTGCTGCAACATTTGATGAATAAATGTAGAGATCGCCGTAAAAGTGCATATTTATCGTTGGTATAGCAAAGTTATCAAAATGTTGCCACTATTTAACGAACAACCCGATAATACCTGGAATAAGTGAAAATTGATAAGGTAAACGCTCACTCACAGCTGTATTTAGAGTTGCTATAGTTAGATGGAATTATATTTTACATTGTACAGTCGTACGCATAAATGCACTATAATTAGGTAGTAAACTATTCATGGACGTGATGGAAGAAACGGGAAATAAGCGAGCTAAGGGACATGTTAAGTATAAATAAATCCTGCGAAGTTCCACGGGAGCAGACACACTTTTGTTGTCGACTGGCTGCGAATTTCTACGTGTATGTATAGTAGAGGCTGATCCCGATCGGCGAGAACTTGTCATTAAGCGGATCGTGTTGTGCAAACCGGCACATTACGAGTCGTTGTGAGAGAAAAGAAAATCGGACGAAAAAAAAGAACACATGATATTTCAAGCTGCGATCACTTTCGCGTGGCAATTAAAACGAGTATAATTTCGCTGAGTTCAGATTTAAACACTCAGAATTTTCATGTTTATTTGCGAATAATGGAAATGCGAGTTTCTTCGTCTCAATACTTAAAACTGAATTCAACGAAATTCTACCAGTTTTTGATTCTTAATTTTAAAATGCGTTGTAATTTATGTGTAAACCGTAGAGAGATTTTTTTGTCCGATTTTTTTCAACAACCCGAATGCTTTCTATGAAGTACTTTTTGCATTTCCGGAGCAATTCGTTTTTCTTTTGCACAACGTGAGAACGGGCCACCGCGTCAACATGGTCCCGCAGGATCGAAATCAGCCGTATCGTTCCAAGTTATATGAAATATAGATAACGGTAAAAATACGGGATAAGGATATGTGGTGCATTTAGATTTTTTACACGTCAAGGCAGGGGGTCCCGTTTCGTTGGTATCCGCATTCCGAAGCAGTGTATATCTCAAGCTGGGCCTCGATCGATTACTGTTATGATTTTGCTCAGTGTATAATTTACAGTAACAAAAACGATCGGAGCTGAGTGAAACGACTATTTTTTATATTTACGCGATTTTACAGCGATTGAAGAGCAATAGTGTTTCATCTGCAATTATATTATTATTATTAGACATCCCCACGATCGCAGCGTGAAAAGAAATAGAAACGCACGAAATTTGCCATATCGGTTAAATATTGAAATAGTGTTTTCATCAGCTTCAATACGATACATTTTCACGTTAATCTTGCAAAAAAAAAATACAAATATCCACGCATATACACATGTGAGTATTGTAGTGCGCGCACTGACGCATTACAAAATCTCCTGAAAAATTGGGGACATTGTAAATATATAGGAATAATGCCGTAACTACGAAATTATATGAATAAAGTATTGAAACTGTGCACGAGAGATTTGTTTTATCCCTTCAGCATGTATCATTCGCATGAAAAGCTCATCTGGTTAAGTAAAAAAATGTTCAATAAAATAATAACTTTTTACAATATTAATATTTAATAGAAAAAAAACAACAAATTTTTTATTTTTCCAAATAAGTTTATTAATTATATTGCACAAATGGAGGGAGCATTAGTAAGCAGAGATAACCATTTTACTACGCATTGTTTTATTTTGTAAGATGCAAATGTAACATATATTATTTACTCTATTAAGTCTACACCTACGTCTCTACACGATCACAATCACGTCATATCAATTGATAAAAAAGAATTACTTTTCATGACTACATTGCCGCTTATCCGACTTACACAGTCAATTAGGTGCTTACAATGACTAGATACGATGTAACAGATGCAAAAGGTGCGCGATGTAACGTCGCCTATGAGTGAAGCTCGACGGAATGTAACAAAAGGGATGCGACAAAATACTTATATAGTGGGAATATAAGTGGATGACGTAATGCTGCTTCTCAGCAGCGTATCCGAAGTGTGCTGTGCGCCAGAAGCCTTGCGGGACGCACGCTTGTGCGGATGAAGATTCAAGGGGGGTAAATTCGGATGTTCGATTCTCGTTGGGGAGCTCACGCGCGGACGAAGAGTTCCTCTCTGGATGGTAAGTATGCCTAAAATAATTTATATTATGCATTTATAAATAAGTAATGCATTATCCAAAGTATGCAGGATGTTTTATAATGTTCAAACGCTCCACCTGTACACGAGCATTATGAAACACCCCGTATACGTGTATTAGAATATTTAGCTTCACAAATAAATCAACATTAAATTAAATTATAATTAAATAATATGACATTAATAAAAATAATTTTAAATACTTTTAATCGTTATATGCTTGTTAGAAAGATATATTTTGCAAAAATAGACTAGGCAGGTTCTTGAAATACATCATTACAGTAATTTAGACTGTATTACCAGACTCATTTGGTTCCAAAACATCATTAAGCTGATAATATTCAGTCTTGATAGATAAAGGTTCTTCGTAGTCCACGAACGCGGTATTATCAAAAGCTTTGTCATCTTTTGGACGATTTTGCACTGGCGAAATAGCTGGTGGATCAGCGTACGTCTAAAAGTTCATTAATTTATATTCGCACATGTTCTGCATGTATAATGATCTATTAAAATGGGCCCACTTTATTATGTTTGTTGTCCGTTGCATTGGGTTTTTTTTATCAAACAGAAGAAATTAACTACAAAATTGAATTCTCTTGAAACTACGAAACCCTACATTCTGTGAAGAATAACGTTTACTATCAGCAGTATCATTAACGTAAAACGTGCAAATTTACCTTGTAACTCGGATAAAAGGAAGAACATTGAAGAGTCAATACTCTTTAAATTATTCAATTGAATGTGAATAAAAATTGAAGAAAAAAAATTCAGACTAATCTTTACATATGCGAACAAAAGGAAAACCCTTTTTATTTAACTATGTTTAATTTAGTTTAATTTTGTATAACAAATTTGTAATTAAAAAATTAACGACACAAAAATATTTGAAAATTAATTTCAAGCTGACCAAAGAACTATAAAAAATAAATACAACTGTAAAAGGTGGCTCGTTATGTCTGCGATATCTTGTATAAGAAACAAATAATTCTCGTATAATACAAACGTATTGTTAGATTGCCTTGAGTTTTACATGTTCGGTTGGTGTGGTAGTACAGGAACGCTTATGGAACTGCCCACCCCCAATGGTTTCGTATGTATGCTCCTCCAGATAATGCCTTGTAGTCCCACGTGGAGTAAGAGTCGCCCACATTACCCGACTGTCTTGCATGGTGTCTGCCGCGCACGGATAAAGCACCGCCTCATTTTGAAGCCTGCCGTTTTTCGTTTGCATGCTGGAAGTTGCATTCGGCAAGGAGATCACTCCGCTTTTCCCGTTCCTATTGCTACGGCGTTTATATATATTTTTATAATTAATAATTCATACGAAAATAATGTTTCTATATATCTTAACGCGATCGTAATACACTTTAAACAAAATCACGATACGTTCACAAGTTTAAATGTCTAATAAACTAAGTTCTTACGATAACGCAAAGAAATATACTTACAATTTGCATTTGAAGAGCAACGTTGCAAATATTACGCCGATAAAAATCACACCAACGCATGACGATATTAAAATCAGGAGCCACGTATTGTCAAACACGGTTCCTGAAAAGTTATATATTAACTTGTTTGTGTGAATAGTCTTTATATAAACAATCGTTATATATGCGCAAATTCATAAATAGCATATAATAATTCAAAATATTAATTTATAAATATGTAAAATTCATTTTCTTATGCTAATATTTTTATTTTTCACCAACCTTGTTGGGGCATTTCTATGTATTGAACTCCTTCAGAGTTCTGTCGATCGCAGATGTGCTTGCAAGGACTGTTATTTAAATGCGGTGGGAATGGCAAAATGTCAGAGTTTGGATAAAAATCGGAACCTTGCTGAAGAATAGCCGGAAATGGTGGTGGTGGTATGTGAAGGATGTCTGGGGGTGGTTCAAGCGTACAGTAAGCACAAGTTGAATTCATGGTTGTATCCAGTGTTCTCATCTGCAAATTATAATTGATAAAACTAGATTAAATTATTCCAATATTTGCATATGCAAAAAATTATTAAAAACAGACATCGGTCAAAATTTTTATTGGTAGAAAATGTACACGGTCTCTCAATTATAAAAACGAGAAATGTTGTATATACAGAAGATTCTTATAATGTTTAATCAATGTATGCCCATAAAAAATATCATATATAAACGTTTGCAATCTTTCCAAATAACAATTTTTAATAATCACGCCCAGTGATATCCATTATTACTTATAACATCAGCAGATTAATAACATTTTTTATTATTCTTTATCTATAACACAAGTAATCTGAGTAATCTGCATATCAAGCTATGACAATTAAATCATTATATATCCTTAAATTGCTGAGACAAAAAGTTATTAATATCATTATTAATATTTCCAAAATCTACTATGGAAATAGATGTCATGCAAGTTATTTTCACTCAAGTGTATATTTTTCTGTTTGTAAATGAATAAAATAATTGATAAATATGCAACAAATTTCCAAAATAAAAATCATATTAGGCTAAGAATAATTCCAAATCGTATATATTTTGACACAAGATATGTTTAAATAAATAAAATAAATGTTATACAACATAAAAGTTGTAGAAAAAATAAATAAATTGCAGTAAACCCAATATTTAAATCAAAATGTATAATAAATAAAATTGAAAAAATCTATATAAAACCTTCAAAAGTAATGATAATGTTAATTGGCCATCCACTTTTTCTTTCCGTTTCCTTCCTCGTTTTCGGCTATGTTTTCAATTTACGTCTTTAAACCCAGCATCAATCACGTAAAATAAGCCGACGATGTTCAAGTAAATTCGTCCATGTTCCACTTGTCACGGATCACGTCATATAAGCACAAAATCGAGGAGAATATGACTGTAAGCAAATTTACTCTTACCATTGAGCACTAGCCCTGCAAGATTCTGATTATCACAGGGTGCACCGAACCAATGTAAAGCGCAAGCGCGTTTTTATTGAGCGTAAGTGGTAAACGTAGATGGTTACAGGGGTGAGCTATATACACTTAAATTCTGACTTCGATTCTAAATAAAAGATATTTTATAATATGTAGAAAGTATATCTTGTATTTAATTTTTTATATGCTGTTTAAATTATATATATTCTTGTTGAAACATTAGTACAGATACTAAGCAATTGGACGCAATACAACGTATAGTAAATTAATTTACATGTTTAAGCAAACTAAAATTCGAATCTTTGCTAAATAGGTTTGAATCTCCGCTAAATAAATTCGAATTTTCACTAATTGTAAATAAAATTTGAATCTTTCTAAATAAGGTTTGAATTTCTTGGATAAATAAAATTCAAATTTTTACTTACGAGAAACCTAATCCAAATCTGTTCTCTTTTAATTTTGACAGGCTTTGAATATACAGCAAAATAGAATAATAAAAAGATACATACTTTTTTATATAAGTTTTTCCTATATTTATGCTTATCTATATGTTTTCTCTTATCCTTCAGATTATTAATCCTACATTCGACATCGTCTCAAAGAAAAAAGCAAAGCATTTTCTGCGAAACAAAAAATCTAATTCGCCACATATTGCTTAGGAATTTATTGCAAATGACGCATACCGACTTTCTCACGTCGAAAAACTTACATTTCAATATTATTATATTTGTTATATTTTTAAATAACTTTCCTTTCTTTCTTGGTGAATATTCTTTTCATCAAAAACACATAATATGCTTAAAAAAAGAACTTTATTTTTACTTTTGAAAAGCGTGTATATGCACGTAAAATGCTGTGCTATATTTCTATAATTTTGTTAGATTTTTAATAATATATATAACAAAAAGATCTCTTTTAAGATCTAAAGATGTTTAATATTTATTTGATGTTTATTAAATATATGTAATCCTTTTTAATAATATTTAATATAAATTAAAATTTTATTATATTATTCATAATATGAATATCTTATCTATCTGGTTTTAATATTAAGTAAGTCATAAGTTATATCTACGGATAAAATAAAAATGTTCTAGAAAAATTTTCGTTAATTTTTGTAATAAATGTTATAATCTTTGTAATAAATGATTAATATTAATATAAATCATGAATATAGATCACGAATCAATCTTTTGAAAACTTTGCTTTGTTTGTCAATTTGAAATTTATATTAACTCAAATACAACGCGAGCGCAGTGAGCGAAAGCAACACGTCACGTACAGAGAGCGAAAGCAACACGCCGCAGCGACGCGGGCGCGGAAATCTGACTACGTCTGACGCCGACATTGACGCCGCATGATCCATCTGATCCGAAAAAGGAAAGAACGGAAACGGAAAGAATAACACTAGTCAAAAGGTCGACGTCTTCGAGGTCACTGTTATTATTTCCTGGTTAATCGTAAATGTAAGCTATAATGTTCCAAATGAAAGAGCAACATTCTTTAGATGTAAACGTTTTTGCTCGCGGAAAATCATATAAATATACAACTTTTAGGTTATAAAAGCTGGCGTTTATCAATGTAAACTAATGTGAACCAGCGGTAGCGATTCGTATTTTTGAGCAATTTTGCATCAATGTACTGGAGTGGGCTTATGTTCTGGAATAGAAAGATAATCGGTGTGGGACGGGAAGAAATGCCACTAAGCTCCATAAGTCATGTTGCAAATACTCCCACTGACACAGCAGAAAGTGTGAATCCTGGCACGAGTGCACAAATAACATCAACCTGCTGCACTCCACCACCATCCTATCATAATATTAATTTACCTCTTGGGCATCCTTCTACGTTGACTAATGAACGTGGTGCACCACCCTCATACGAAGAAGCAATAGATCCTAATGGTATGTTATCCGATGTCTCTGTTATAGCAAATTTAGTTGGATACACTAGTGTGTGCTAATGCAAATTAAAATCTGTTATATATTTTAATCTCTGTGTGTAATATAACATTTTGAAAATGTACAGTATATTATTATTTAAGTGAGGGGACGGTCCTCATTGTTGAAGATCCGTCTGTGGCGCTCAGACTGATGTCCATTGTGCCTCTCTCCAATCGAAATGTATAGTATATATTCTACTAAAAATAATCCTAGTAAAATGATAACTTATACTGATCTTGTGATTTTGGTCCATTTATTTTAAAGAGAAAGTGAAAAAGTAAAGAGATTTTTTGAAAGTTTTGTAGCTCTTTAAATGTCTCTTTATTTTTTTCTTTATCTTCCTATTATGTATGTTTTTTTACATTCACTTTTATATAATATTTTAATGTACACCAATGCATATTAATGTATTCAACTAAATTTGCTGTTGGTTATGTTCTTGGTATTATTATATTCAAGTGGTGAATACAGGCAAATAAAGACAAATTGTTATATTTATTAGTACATTATGCAAATAATATTTTGCACTATTTGCAGCACCACCACCGTCTTATGATTCATTGTTTGGTCGTATGAGAGAAGCTCGTAAAATATCCAAAGGCATATTTGACTTTTTAAAAAATATTATCTTTTTGCTTTTGGGCACAAGTAAGTATGGTTAACATATTTATTAAATCAGTGAATTGAAACTCTAAGTAAGATATGTTTGACAAAATGGTTTAATATTAAATGCAAAATATGCAATTAACATTTTTCAGTTGGGTGTACCATCATTATTGGAGTGACGATAGTGGTACCGATTTGTATGATGGTGATTGGTGGACTATACCTTTACGATTGTCCACAGGGTGAATACATTCCTGTATATTTGTTAGTAGGCGGTGGATTTGGAGTATTTAAACAATTGTTAACTCTGTCAACTAGAGTGCGACAGCGACAAGAGGAAAGAGATGAAGAAAGAATTAGGCAGTCGCCTACGCAGACTTTAATCAATTGTTTTATGCTCGGATGGTTTATTATTGGCAAGCTTTGACTTTTAATTATAGTTTATTTTTAACTTTAATACAATTATAATTTGAATTAGTGAACTTATTGTACCAATTTTTTGCAAAGGAGGTTAATACATTTATTTGTTGCAGGTTCAATGTGGGTGTACAAGGAATATGAACCAAATTATGACCCAGCGCAAGGAAAATATTGCAACAAGACGTTATACCTATTCGCTTTTTGGCTAATCACATCAGTCTACATGTGTCTAGGTGTCATAATGGCTGGCCTGTGCAGCATATCCATAGTTAGCATCGCGTTTCAGAGACCACCGCCGGATCTGATGTGAGACACTATAGCTTAGCTGCTTCATATGCGCGTCTCCGAAACAACAAACATCTAAGATCTTCCGCATTTGACATAGTCAGGACTGTATTGTCGGTAAGAAAACAACTCCACTATGTGTTACGGGGAATATGCGTGTGTAAACTGCGTGTTGGGTGGGCATAATTTTCTATCTTTCGTGGGACAATGTCGTCAACACCCTCTGATTGATAAATACGAATGGCTCATTCTTTTAGACGTAATCCGATCAAAGATTTAGATATGAGAAGCTCCAATTTGTATAGGAATGCGGCTACAAACGCCGTAAGTGGAAAAGAAATCTCATTTTGGGAGCAAACCGATAAAAATCATTCGCCGAGAGTGGCGCGACATCGTTTACCGAAAACGAGTCGCTTCGCGATGGGGAGCAAAAATTTCGTCCACGTTTTACGTACCTGAGATGCTTAAACGACCACTTCGAAAGAAATCGTTGGCACGTTAAAAAACGCACATAAAATACTCGCGTGCAATACAAATCTCAAACAAGATCGTTTTAAACGACTTTTCATCACGTGTAATAAGCGCAATTATCCGCATAGTTACTCGATAATTCGACTTTGTCGGACGATTTGCGACCAAATAAAATCGAAGAAAAGTACGATACATCGAAGTCAGTTGTCTCTATTGACAGCCTCTTGATAAAAAGAATGAATGAGAAGCGAAGATAAGCGTCGCTTCGACGGAATTAAAGGCTGTGCGTACATCGCGTTACTCGCGAATATTCAATGTTGTGCCAAGTGGACGTGAAGTCGCAGACCAAGGTATTTCGCTATCACAGTGTTGCACGCGCCAGCGCTGGTGCGCGATACAATTACTATAATACGCCGCAAAACTCGTTCGGAATTCACTCAGAGTGGACCACGGCGGATGCGCGACTTGCACTACGCTTACACAGCGGCGCTGACGCTTTGATACGACGGTCTAACAATACATCTGCGATATAGATGTTAGTCATCACATCAATGCTCGTTCTCAATATACTTCTTATCTATGTTAAGCACGTTATGGACTTTACAGATTTGATAACAAATTCGGTTGAATGCACTAATATATACATTGGATGCAAGTTAAAGTGTCGCATACAAATTGTTGTATTGTAGAAGCATACATAAATATAACATTAATTTATTTGGATTATTCTTATATATGTTAAATTTTGTTTAATATCTCAAAGTATTATGTTATATATTTATATTTAACATTGTATTATATATTTTTATAATATTAGATAAATTGAAATGTACAACAGACTTTAATCAGCGCACATTAATGTACACAACCGAATTTGCTATAATACAATCAAGTACGCGCACTCAGCTTACTCGTGACTCGTAACTTATTGTTAAAAGACTGCGATCTTGCTCGACAATTTCTATTTATTCGCCCTCTCCTCCGTCCTTTTATGCCTCTATAGATCTTCGTTGGATGTTTATGTCCTCGATATGTACACGATTTGTTTTCTCATAGAGAAAAAGTCACGCGAAGCGATCGAACAGAATAAACGTATAATATACACGTTTTTTTCGAAGTGTCTATCTTAAGAAATTAAAAACGACAGTATTTGTTAGTATTGTAGGAGCTTGCTGTTTTACGGAAAGATCAGCACGCTCCGTCGTGTCGTGCGTGTGATGTCGTGACGACATACACGCCTAGCTAATTTGTGATTCGATTAAACAATTGTATTACCAAGTGTATTATGAAAAATATCGCTCTGTACATACTTAAACACTACCGTTCCTTCTACTTTCATATGACTATTGACTTTTCCGACTGAAATTTAGTCTTCCTCCCTTCTTACATTAAACATAATTCCCAAACATAAAACTAAGCATAAGCGTTGGCATAATTGTAAACGTAGATATACCGATAAGCAGGCACAGGTATAATTGTGCCTGCGTCACAACTGACATACATGCTTATGCTCATTATGATTAATAACCGAGCTTGTGCTTGAAATTTTACATAAACATATTAAGAGATATGTATATATATATACTGATCGTGTACATTAACATTGCAGCGTATAACATTATACCGAATACAGATTGTAAATAATGTACGACTTGAATGTAGAGTTATCGATCCGACAAACACGTATCTTGCATTTACTATATTATTATAACATAACGAGATATTAATTTCTGACAATGTAACAGCATTCCTACGTTTTGCATAGCAAAAACGTACGCACATTCGTTGTCATAATTTCTTAAATAAAGCGCTTAAAATCACGCAATTTTATTTCGTTTTGCATAATATGAAAAAATCCAGTACCGCACATGTGTCTAAAAATATGAAAAGTATATAACAATAATGCACTTGTAAATTAATTAATTGCGTAGCGATGGCAACTCTACACGCATCCAACTATAATTAAGGACTGTCGATTCGAGACCGTGCTTCTCCCTGATAGTATTTCAAATATTCTTCATGATAGTCCCCTTCTTCATAATCGGCGTATCGCTCAATCTTTGGCCAGATGTCATCCTCGCTTCTCTCAATCCAAGATTCCGGCGATACCTACGCAAACAACACACCATCAGGCGAAAATCATTTCGAGATACAGCGTGCGGATATGTTAAGCTTTGATCGCCGCACCGGATATCGATAATATATGTCACGGCAACGAGAAGCGACATAAACACGGTTTAAAAAAGAAAGACGGCTACTATCTGCCCGGATATCGTAATTCTATTAATAATTACGGAAGCCTGCAATCTGGCGGTATGCTAGAAATAACAACCGGATACAAAGCGGTCGATTAAAATTTATTTTATGGAAGAAACGTTTCCGTTTCTGATGACGCAGACATACGTATTAAAAAAATTCCATCGCGAAAATGCGACCGAATACAGATTGCAAATATTGTCCCGTTTTCTGATATTAATCCGTTTCGATATTATCTCGAATAAGACAAATACAACTGCATGTCATAGCGAAACTTTACAATTTGTTGTTAATTCGTTGTTCGTGCAATTTATGCGATCGTCTTTGAAGAAACTTGGCTTATGATAAAAATCAACTTTTCGCGGAAAGAAATATCATATGTAAATATGTAAATAATTACATATTCTTCTCGCAAAGGCACTGCTTCTGGCGGCAATAATTCCGGATTGTAAGGTGTGATACAACGCGCACGCCACAGTGGTAGAATATCCGCCTTCGACTCTTCCGTCATTTCTGACTTCTCATCGTTTTCGTCTTCCTGCATTATTATAATACGAAGATTTAGTTAAAAAAAAAAAAATTACTTTGCTCCGAAGACAATTTTACCTCCGCGACTTTATCCGCGTGAGTCCAAGTCAAGTCACCGCGTGCGGAATATTTCGCGTGTATGTAATATCCATGCTGCATGCAGTCGTTTTCGAAAATGAAGCAACCACGTCCATACGGCTGTATTCGCGTGCGGTAACATCTTTAACTTAATGCTTTCCGAATGCGTTTTCTATCTAAGCTTCACCAAACAAAACCGCGCTGCAATTATTCTCATTTCACATACCAAATTCCGTTTCCAAAAACCGTGGAAACGATGGTGTGCGTGAACGAGTTGTCCGGGTCCTTGCATGCGATCTTCCATCCACGTACCCATAAATTTCGCTCCCGTATCAGCGTACAAGTACGTTCCCATACCGTGACGTAGATTTCTCTTCCACGAACCCTCATAGATATCATTATTCACGTAGTAATAAACGCCGAAGCCGTGTTTTGCGTCATCCTCCCACTCTCCTGCGAAACATTAACATCGAAACTGTTGCTGAAATTGATTTGCAATGGGAAATCGCGTGTTTGTTAATAATAAATATCGAAAAACTGCGACTGGCTGAGACACAGGCGTCGTCAGACTCAACTTTCACATCTTATGGATTTATCGCAATTCACGCGCACGCTGTTTCGAATTTCTGGCACACTCTTAGCTCCTCTAGATTCCTGACGTGCGATATAAAAATAATTTGCATGAATAGTACATGTGGACGTGCCCACGCGTTTCGATGCGACTTCCTCGAGTCTCGTTCGGAGCCTATTTTTAAACATTCTTCCGTACCTTCGTATCGCGTTCCGTCGGGATACCAAAAGGTTCCTTGGCCGTATTTGTGCCCGCGCCTCCAGTCGCCGTCATATCGGGCGCCGTTTCTGAACATGTAGGTACCTTTTCCGTCTCTGAGCCCGTTACGATATTCGCCGACATACATGTCACCGTTGGGCAACAAAGCCTTTCCGCTGCCGTGCCTCTCGCCGTTCTCATTTCTTTCGCCTTCGTATACCTGCGAAGATCGTCCGCAGAGAGACGTTGCGAACAACGCCGTTTACACCGTTTCAACGTGTCGAACAAAGATAGCGCACGATGTTAACGCGACATCTTACTAGTGTAACTCTTAACAGAAGAGTCAAATAACGACCCTACTTGATGAATCTTACCCCAAATGGATCGGTTTCCTGTTCTCCACGTTCATCAGGGTACTGATCTGCTGACGATGTCTCCATAATGTCGCGTTAATCGATGTTACACTCGACAGTCGCGTGTTTCATGGTTTGTACACAACATGACCGAAAAGATCTGGAACTGAATCAATAGACGCCAAATATTTATAATACAATTTTATTGCTCTTAGTATTTTACATAATTTCCCACGATGTTTAACACACTAAAACGAAGTGCCTGGAAAATATTTTAAAAGTCTTCTTTAATTCATCGTTTACATTCTTTTAATATCTTTTGCGAAACATAAAGTACTCAGCTATTCATCCAAATTGCTCTGATTGATGTTGATTTTTATTAATTCAATTCCGGAATTTTTCAGCCAAACGTAACGTGTGTATAAAAACACAACGTATAAAAATATCAATATGGGAGCAATATTGCGCACGAGCGATGAGTGCGAGTCTCCAAATAAATAACTTCTATTGGAGTAAAACATTTTGCAATTGTATAGTAATATAAAAAAGTAAAATCAATGATGTAACCGATTTATAATTAGAAGTTTATTGACGTATATATATTTATAAACTAAGATGAAACTGAACTGCCGCGATTCACAATGATTCGTTTGCGTTGTTTTTCTGCAATCTGAAATCGATACAATTTCTGATGGCTGATGCTTTTGTCCCAATAAATAATGAAAATTTTATCTCATCGGCCAGTAAGCAGGCCAATCAACGCTTGCTTTTCTTTCTCTTTCTTGCGCACAGATTCCAGATTCCTCTGCTTCCAGGAGCTCTTTCGGAGCTTTATTGGACGCGATCCCACATATCGTCCTAAAACGAATGAAGATTAATCGTGTAATAAATATTTTGTCATCGCTTGAGTCGCCATATGTCAAGAACTAATGATATATTACTTTACTGTAACATTAAAATAATATGCTCACACCAGGCGTTACGATCAAAGTCCGGAAATGTAAGGCATTGATATACGAACTATTTATATTCGGTGCAACTACAAATTTTTATATTTCACTTAAATCGGTCACAAATATGCAGACTGTGTTTGCACACACGACAAGTGAGAATTTCTTGCATTCCTCTGATTGATTACTAATTGAATTACTAACATTTTTCACAATAAGGACACTTTCCTGGCACGGAAAAGCCGAGCTTGGTAGCAACAGATGACAAGCGAAAACATGTTTTCTCACGCCATCTTATCCACACAAGTATCCAAGAAAAGAAAAATGTATAGAAATCGATCGTTCACACGCAGATTATTTGGCATTTGAAAATTTTTACGATGCGCGCACAACATATCGCTATGCTAATTATTAACACTCGTTTATTCTTTCTCGCATTCCTATTCACAATTTTCTTTGGCTGTCAACAATTACAAGAAAAAAACGTGAGCAATTTTCTTTAGTGCAAAGAGCTTGAGAGTATTCTAGAGTTAAACATTTTAGAGAGCATTTTAGAGTTGCGCGAAAAGCAAACAGAATTCTCTAATGCTTCTCATGTCTCCACGGTCGTTGATCATCGTACAATGCACTCATGCAATCTATTTTACATAGATTGATAAAAGATTGATTATCTAAAAGTTGCATAAGAAAATTCAGTTGATTGTGATTCAATTCAAATCAATGTAAAATAAAATTACTTATAAGAATTTTAATTAGCAAGAGTCAAATTGTTAATGACAGAAGATGTACAGATATTGACAAATAATAATAAAATAGATGCAAAAATAAAAATGATGAATTCATAAGCATTCTTCTTTTGAGATAGAATACACATTACGTAAAATTTTATTTCTATTTCTATTTAGTTCAAAGATATTTTGACGAATCTGCAGAGTGAAGAAAATATAAATGTATAATTACCGTATAATAAAAAAAGATAAAATAAATTGAATAAAAATAATTTTAAAAACTTTATTGAAAAGTATCTTGCACACACAGCGTCGATGCTACCTGTTTATTTTTGTGCGTAAGTTGTGTTAAAGATTCGACGCTACAAAATCAAATGTGACAAAGGTAAGCAATTTGTGTTAAGCTTGTATTTGCAGTTGCATCGAAATTCCGAGAACGCGAAGAACGAGACAGTGTCCGCGTGGCCAAAATATTCTTTCAATGAGAAATTCCGCAGAACAGAAAATGTTACATTAAAGGGGCTCACGACCTCGCTTTTCTCCTTCTCTATTCTCAATTCGATCTCGATCTCGATTTCGATCACCCACACAACTCGTATTGTTATTTTTGCGACTTCTATATGAGCTACATAAATACGAAACGGAACAGTTTATATTCAATCGCGTTTTCGATCAAACTCGAAATATCATTATCGTGTGGTCGTGTATCGTCTCGATCGAATAAAAGAAATATCTTATTATATCACTGTTACCATTAACACGTTAATTTTCCGAATTAATTTCATACAAACGTGCGAAAATTGAACGATTGTGAGAAAATGTTCACGCGACTAGAAGCGAAAATATGATTTTTGGGCACATTTCAAGTGGGAATTACGAGTTCAAATCGTCGTTCAAATCAATAAACGAGAGGAGAACACGGATCAGCTGTGTAAGTTTTATCAACGTGGTGCGAGGTTGCACTGCGGGCCATCGATTAGTTTCCGGCCCTGCAAGTACCTCGAGCGACCACGAATCATATATCCGTTCTATTATCATCATATCCGGAACTCCACCTCGTACGCACTATTACATTATACACGCGCGATTGAAAGCTTAATCTGGCACCGCGTTTGCTCGTTCGTTCGTTTAAACTACTTGTTGCGCCGGCCCCATTTCGTGAGATACCACTCGCAGCTAAATGCGATTCTCTTTTTCTCTTCCCCTCTATTGACTAACATATCTAATTGTTGGAAATTACACACTTTACCTCATTTTCTTTCCTCCTGTATCTTTAGTTTTTCTTTCTTTCTCTCTTTCTCTCTCTCTCTCTCTTTCAATATTAACTCTTTGCGATTACAAGCCGGGATATTCCCGAAACGTAAACCACTCGTCGCTCACTTGCCGCGCAAAACTAATAAGATGAAATTAACTTATTCGTCAAAATTAATTCAGACCGGAAAGGATTAAAATAATATACAGAGTGCCCTAAGATTCACAAAGTAAGTAAAATATTAGAGCAAAGACGTTCTTAAAAAATTAAGTAATAAAAATCTCTGCAAGTTTATATTCTAAATAATAATTTTTGAAACATAAGAGATTAAAGCTAGCCAATTACAAGCTACAGTTAGATGATCGGCTATCCGTAAAATGCGCGTATGATAGTGTTAATTGCACATTTATTGATACACTAGACAAAAAATTGTATTACCATTCGTTAATACACACTTCGCAATCAACATTTTTTATGGATTGTACATATCACCGATGATAACATCATTCTTTTATTTCGTATCAATAAACGCAATTACTAACGTTTATGCGATTCATAACCATTGAAATGTAGTAATGTGACAATATCAAGTCTTTCGTCAAATATCGCCAAAGCTGCTATTTGTCATAAAAATTTGCAGATTTTTATTAATAAATTTTCCAAGTCTTCCCCATTATAGTATTTTGATTTGCAAATTCTAGGCCACCGTGCTTGTGTGTACAGAGACAAATTTGTAAGACAAATCTGGAACCATCATCAAGATTGTTAAAATGTTACGGAATTCGTGGAGAAATTTGCAGTGTCATTTATAACTGTAACGTTTGCCGAATATTTTAGAACACTTGAAATAGAGAACCCATGTCGCTTTGCAAATGCGAGCGAGTGCATTCCGTTGCGATAAACCTTTCCGCACAATCCCACCTGTCCGACCCGTTCGCGACTGTAGAAATTTCGGCAATTTTCCGCGCGTATCTTCACCACCGTATGAGTCACCGATGTTTCGCACGCGCGCGAACGTATATATTTTATTTACATTATACGAATCGAAAACTGAGCGTATAACTTAGCAAATGACTATAAATAACATCATTTTATAACATTCCTTGCGTACTTATTGGATCGTTTTTTCATCTTCGAATCCAAAATATTCGCACGCAATCTACTGTAAAATATTCGCGCCATACGAAACAATGTTCGCGTATATTTTGTACTCCGTTCTGCGTTATATCATCATTGTTACAGCTTTAGTTAAACAGTAGACTGTCTTTAATAAAACGTGCACTAATGTACTCGACAGATCTTTTACCGTGTACACGTACATTTCGTATCTCGCAAGATAATGCTTTACACTTTCGGTTTACGACTTTTGCTTTAAACTTACATCGCAGTGCTTAAGAATATAGAAAATATTTTATCTATAAGAGAGAAAAAAAAGTAAAAAATTTGCTAAATATTTGTATCCGATTATTCCTTCCTGAGAAACGAAAAGAAGTTTTTAATGATAACAATAATGAGGAAAAATGATGATAATCAAAATGATAAAAAAAAAAGAAAAACAAGGGAAATGATCGAGTTGCGTGGTCTACCGCGAGTTTCTCGATTGGCTGTCGCTTTGACAGGGTGGGGTATTGCGAGAATTTGTAGTAGGAAGTAGGGGTTGTTGAATGAGTAGCAGAACGCTCAGCGTCTCGACGCACTTGCTCGCATCCACCCCAACGGTAGACCGATTAACCATACTACAGTATATCGTATGGCTCCACATCTGAGCCACGAATTCGCCCCAGATTTCATGCAAAAGTGCATGCCGAGAAAGTGAAAGTCGAACGAACGATCAGCATATTTCTGAGGTATGTTTTCTTCTTTTTTTTTAATCTATTTTTCACACGCACTTAATAAATAGTTGCAGCGAAAAATTGGTTGTAAAAATTGTAGCATTGCCCGATTTTTTATATATGCCATTTTCCGCAAACATTATGTCAATTTTGTTAATTATTTGTTAATTATTACAATATTATATAATTTTATCATTAATATAAAATGTTCACGATAACTCCTATAAATCGCATTTGATCGATTCGATTTAATCGTGTAAACGTGATATTAGTAACACATATACGTGAGAAATAATCTTCGTCATTAACTTCATGAACCGTTTCGAAATTTTATCATTAATATAGAATTTTCGCGATGCTTCCATTGATAATTCACGTAACAAATTAATTCTTTGCTCAATTATTTGCTGTAGGGGTGAAATCGAGTACAATCGCACAGTTAATCAATCAACGTGATCTATATTAATATGCAAGAGAGAAGAAGTGAATAAGCGAAAGATAAATATTTCGAGCAAATATACACAGTGCAGATAAAAAAAATTTCGCGGGAGAACGTAAACGGCATACCTGCCTGTCGACAAAGTCCCCATCGCGAAATGATTGACGATCATCGTATCAGATTAACTTCCGAATTCAAGACTCGCACGGGGTGTACCGAGTTCGCGCGCGAGCAATACTGATTGTGAGAGACTTCTTTATACTCCGATGCTCCGTATCGTTTATTGTAAACATCGCTTCGAAAAATATTTATTCGAAAAGAATGCGTTACCGCTTAAAACTATGGCAGCATTGACGAAGACATGTGTTCGCAATATGTATTTGTCATTCATTTTTCAGAACATTAGTAAAAAAATATATCCACAGAGAGCAAACAATCTATAATAAGTTATCTAAAAGTGAATAAAAGAACACAATGTGTATAAGAATAAATACATAAACAGAATTAATGCTGTAAATTTAGCAAAATTTTTACATGCCCCCAATTATTATTTAAATCATATTAGAAGAACAAAATCAACATAGACAACGCGCGCTAATTATTTATATGTATTTTTATGTTACATCTTTTCAAACTAAACTCCCGCACAAACACGAAAAGAAAATAAATTAGTTTGTTAAACTTTCGATAATTAGTATTATAAATTCGCTTGTAATGAAACTATTTAAATTATAACGAACAGATACAGTTGTCATTGTAATTCGTTTCATATACATTGAAAGAGTCTCAAATCTGTTTTATCAGATTAACGGTACGTTTTATTTTCGTAGGAAAAGACGAGAGTACGCAGTATTTCATTAGCGCAGCGATATTACGATAATTGGAAAACAATTGGGCGACACGTTAGTATCGCGAAGACGAAATAAACATGAAGATAAATTCTAAATTGCTCCTAACATCGCTATTGAATGTACTGTGGCTAATGATCGGTTATGCGGCGCCTTTACTAGACACAAAGGACACTTGGAATCAAAATATCCTTGAACCTGTAAAGACAGCATGCTCTCCCAACGGCCTATGTTGGGAATGGTTACCGATACCGGAAAAATATGACGCCATTATATCCGAACAAGAAAGTGATACCTCGAGGTACATGCATACATACACAATTTAACTCTCTTGCTTTTGATTTTGTTTTGCTCTCTCTACGATCTCACGCGTATAATAAATGGATAACGATTATAGAAATATAGTGTAGATATATATTAATATATTGCACTATATATGATGACTATCCTGTTTTTAATAATTAATAATATTAAATTTTACTTAAAAAATTTTTTTACCACAAAATGATTTTCATTAATGTACAACATCAAGTTTAACTATAATCTTCGCGTATTTAGCAGATTGCAATCCTGGCGCCAAGTTGCAAATCCAGTATCTGAATTCACATCAAGATCGTTGAAAGATACGCTAGAAGAAACCAGACGAGAGACTCGATCACCTGCATTGCCTAAGCAGAAGATAACCATACCTAGTACCTGGAGTCTCGGTGGTATGCCTTTTAACGTTCTATACATGTATACACGATTGAATCATGCAGCTACGACAGAATCGAGTAAGTACCAATGCGATATTAGCACGAAAGTTTTTTTTTTTTTTGCTTTATTTATGAAGTAATTAAGTTTGATTTTTGCAGCAGCGTCTCAACAAAAAGTCAGCTCGACGACTAAAAGTTCGCTCGGAGAACATTCTAATTCGCGCATTACTTCACGAAATCAGTCTAGTACAAGAAGAAGATACTTTTGGACTCTACCACCCCTTTTTATATATGGTTTGACTCCCCCCAAGAAATAAAAGCAAACAGCAGTAATGTATATCATCGGATTACCATCATTAAAAAAAAGGAGAGAGAGAAAGAAAGAAAAAGAAACACTTTGAATTGTGTAAAACATCTAAAAATATATAAATAAGTAGCTCCGAAATGCAGAGCGATTCTTATAACTGTAGCTCGTTATAATATTTAAAATCACGATTTATATCTTTCTGCTCATGCAATATTTTCCTTTTGCAATATACAATGTCGCATAATAAATTTTCATTTTCTATTTAAATACACGACACATATTAAGTAAACAATTGCACTCAAAAAGTGTAGGGAAGATCCCTACTATAAAAGATTTTTGTGCAACATAAGCAAGACCTACATTTAAAAAAAAAAAATTAATATATATATAATTGACTTACCGTTCATTTCCTTCATCGCTTTGATAAAATCTTGTGGATCTTTAAAAGACACGAATCCAAAACCTTTAGTTTTATTTGTCCGTTTATCTCTGACCACCTTTGCCTTTTGAAAACTGGGATATTTTCCAAATACTCTCACCAACATTTCATCTGTGACATCATTCCCAAGATCGCCACAAAATATCCTAAAATCATCTAAACCACAAGATTTATTTTAATAACATTATTAAAAAAACCGTTTTGTAATTAAGTAGTTTAGATAGAAAAATTTGTTCGTTACTTACCATCGTCCCATTCTAATAAGGAAGGATCTTCCCACGTTTGACCACCGGCTGTTCTTATAATTTTCTTATTTTTCTTTCCTTTCCCCTTGGGATGACTCTCCTCTGCACTGGCGTTAGCCATAATAGAACTTGCTTTTCCTTGACTAATAGCTAATTCAGCTGCTGTACTAACACCCTTAACCTTTGGTTTCTTTTTAACCTCATCTTCAGGAATTTTTGTATTAATGATTTGTTCGATAATTTCCGGATGGATCATCGTTGCTGATGTAGAATCGTATGTTTTTGGTGTTGCGCTTAAACAGGGATCCACCATATTTGATATATAGGGATTACTTATTTGTGCAGGTGAGGAATACGTCGTAAGAGAAACGGTACCTATAACAATCATTTATATTACATTAGTAAAGCAAACTTTACAATATTCTCAGATAACAGTAAAAACTATGTCATTGATTTTACCTTGTCTCGCTACTTGCTGAGGAATTAACATCGGTGGAGGTGGAGGAGGAGGCGGTGGTGGTGGAGGTGGTGGAAATCCAATCATTGGAGGAAATGCTAATGTTGCTGCTGTAGCTGCTGCAACTACTGGAGTAGGAAGTTCATGTTGCTCTAATTGTCTAGCAACTTGACTATATGTATTTGCACCGATTACTGGTCGAACAATAGGTGTCACAAGTTGTCCTCCGATTTCAGCTTCAAATCTGAAATTTACATTTAATGATTTAATTAAAAAATTGTAACTTAAAAAAAGCATTAATAAAATTTTCAATAAAATTTTCTCCTTGCATACTTGCGTACAAGAATATTTCTAGAATAAAAAACAAAAATAAACACGTGATACTTGGATAAAAATGGTTATGGTTGCAGAAAGAATAAAATCTGAAAGATAATGAATACTTCTGTTGGAGTATAATCACTCCGTGTCTTAAACACTATTTAATAGCTTTTAGTTATTTAAAATAACAGATACTATTAAAGTTAGGTTAACGCTATACCTGTTCATTTCATCTTCCATTTGTCGAAGTTTGTCGTCCATTTTTGCAACTGTTAATCCTTTTATAAAATACAAGACAATTTATAGATGGATTTATTTAAATGCAAATTTTTGTTATTGCAAAATCCAATAATACTATTTCAATATAACACTTCAGCTAACAAACTTTACTGTGATGCTCTTTGAACCACTCAACCTAACATTTAACAAACATCCACAAATGCCAACAAAATAACACGAAACAGAGCATTAATAGATCATACAATGTAGCACTGAAACCCGTATCAAACTATACATTAACAATTGAGATTGCAAATTAAAAGCAAAAATTTGACCAATCAACTACCCTTAATCTTAATCACTTTGTCATGATAGGTCGAATAGATGCGACAATGCGTACCGGATATAACATGCTAATGCAAGATTCACATTACATTGAATGACCAATTCAATCTTGCAGTTACTGAATCTAGCATAATGAGAGATGATTGGCTATCGCTTGTTGCTACATTCGTGTTGCTCTCAGGTTACTTTACTTTGCTTGTCCGTAAGTGCTAGATGAGCATTTGGAGGTTAAGGATCACTCAATCGTATTCGTTATGAAGGGACTTCTATATTTATTCTTTATTATCGCTAATTTATGCGAGCAGTATGTAATAGCAGAACATGAAGAAGATGTATCTACGGATCTATATGTAATTGAAGGCAAAGTATTTCCCTGGGACAATGCAGCTTCTACTGGATGGCAACTCATGACACACGTAATGGCCAACGGTGGTGAACATTATGGTTTTTTAAGGTATACATTTTGACAAGTTATTTATGCTTGCGAATTAATTATTTATCATTCACATATGTTTTATTATTTAGGGAAGATGGTACATTTATAATTTCTAACGTTCCATCTGGATCGTATATGATTGAAGTAGTAAATCCAAATTATGTTTACGAGCCAGTGAGAGTGGAAATCAACTCTAAGGGAAAATTCCGAGCTCGAAAAGTGAATTTGATACAAACATCGCAAGTGATTCAAGTACCGTATCCATTAAAAATGAGGCCATTAGCACCATTTCGATACTTTCAAGTTAGGGAGCAATGGAGGATGACAGACTTCTTACTCAATCCTATGGTAATGGAATTTTTTAGTAATGTAGAGGATATATATTTTAATTTACTTCTGTAGCTAAAAACAATTTTTTTTTTTAGGTTTTAATGATGGTTTTGCCACTTGTATTAATCATGATTCTGCCAAAAATTATGAACGATCCTGAAACTAGAAAGGTAAACCTATCTTTTACATATAGAGAAACTAAATAATAATATTTAAAAATGGTATAATTTATATAAATTATTACACCATGTTTAATGTGTTATATTTTTTAGTAAAGTTTAATAATATATGCATTTTGTAGGAAATGGAACAGCTAAATAATCTTACTATTTATAATATGCCAGAAATGTCAGAAGTAATAACGTCTTTTCTTTCTGGAGGAGAAAAACAAAAACCAAAGGCTGTAAAAGCTACTAAGAAAAGACAATAATTTATTATCTATAGAGAATTGTATGTATAGGTTTATTATAGTTCTTAAAATATACATAGAAATATATCAAAAACAAAGCATTTTAAAAATAATAACTGCTTACATCAAATGTAAAAGATTACACACACACATAATAGCTAATATACCAAATTTGTAAACTCTTGTACATCTGTTCTACATCTAGATGGAAAAAAATCACTGCAGCAATTTTTTAACTTATTCTGTTATATAGTCACATGCATATATTACACGTTTGGTAAAGCAGTAAAAAACTTTATATGAATATAAAAGAAAAGAAAACTGTGTATTATATAATTACAATCACTACGATATACATTGAATTATTGTGTCATAAAAAACACAATTTTACTACATTTTACTACATTTTCTTGTATTAATGAACCCACTGTGATGTCTGTAATAATTTTGTGTTATATAAAATGTTATGTATGTAGAATTTCCTAAATTATAAAAAATATCTATAATCTGTATTATATCCATAATTTAGTTCTGTAATGTTGTTCCATTGTTTTGCAATAAATTTTTAATCAATAGTCTTTCGTATTTTACAATTATTTCACACTTATTGTGTCTCACAAAAAATATACAGAATGTAATAAACAGGCGTAAGATGTATTTTTAATTAAAAAATTATATTAAAAAGTTGCTAAAAAATAATTAAATTTATTTGTATCTAAATATTATTAAAGTATAATTCTTTTTTCTTGTTTTTTCACTTAAAAAATTATAAAAAATCTCAAACTGTGTAAAACCATAATTATCGAATATTTTTAAGCACGCCAAATACCGACTGATGGTCATAATAAGTTGTATTTTCTTATTTGATTTGTTATTAGTGCTCAAGTGTTGGTCAGGTTAGGTTGGGTTATAATTTGTCTAATTAAAATCGCACAACTATTAACTGTTAAAAATAAAATCAACCTTTTTATCTGTAGCACATTATTTTGAATTATTTAAGTTGTTAGATTACACACGCTGTATTTATAATTGTTACTCGAATCTCGTCTGAAGAACGCATCTGCTGTTAGGATCGTGTGATATACGATACGAGGAAGTAAAAATATTCGTGGAATATCAAGAGTCATATTATATGACAAAAAACCAGGTATTATAGACACGTTTTCTAGAATGACTAATACAATCTGAATCGTCTAAAATACTTGCGTATGCAGGATTTAAACACATTCGTAGTAACCACTTGTAAGATGAATATATAAAACAGAATGATACATATGACAGAAAAAAATGCAATCTTTCCATTTATAAGAAACGTAAAAATACTTTTACTTAAATAAACTTCAGTAATTTTTAAATTATCGCTGACATATTTTTTCAGATAAAATCTGTAATCGCATAGCAATTCTCGATAAAGAAAAACGTCATAGTACATCATACATTCTTCATGTTTGATAAAAAAAAGATAATACTGATTTTACTGTATCCTCTTCACTGTACCGGTGAGGATTAACAAAATGAAAAAGGGAACATGAGTAAAGATGAGCAATCATGCGTGATTCAGCGGTCGACGATGCACGGAGCCGAAAGCAACACGATTGAGAGAGGAGCGGTTGAGCCGCGTGGTTCTTAGTTCCGGGAATCCATATTTCGCCAATCGAGTATCCGGTCGCCGTGCTTTGCCTTGCCTGGTTCTAGATCTCGCCTCGATTTCGTTTCATTCACACCAGCAACGACTGAATCGAAACATCGGCTCGCGTTAATACATCGACGTGTCGCGAGTAAGAAAACTAGTTGCGCGATCAAACAGGTGCAATTAGATATTCGCCTAGGTATTCGTAGTGACAAATGGAATTTGCGTTATATAAGTTTAGAAAGAATATATTTTGTATTGTGCGTAATTGTATGCGCGGCATCGATGTGAACGAAAATATTATAAAACAAAGTGATTAAAAATGGTGCGAAAAAGGACGAGCGACTGAATTTATATCGATTAAGTGTGTCAATGGTATGTGGAAATATGTTACGTTAGCTCAAGCTTAATAAGATGTTAAATACAGTTTTACTTCACATATACAGAAGATTCGTTTTCGGTGAGTCATAACTAGCCGGTAAACTGGCCAACAATTGGCCTAACCAATAACGACTAATCTTCGATATCGAACTTCGAAGTAAAATGGCAACAACGAATTACGGAATTACGTAGGAAAATTGAAAGTATATTTCATTTTGAGTTATGGAGATTTTTCAAAGCTCGGATACCGTGCAGTGTCGAGTATCCGCCGATTTAAAATCGAGCTCGGAATCAGAATCGGAATCAAGGCGAAAAGATAATAAAAAGACGCAAGCATTTTCGAGCTGCAAACGATTTCGTTGGACGCATACAGAAGCGCGCATAATAGATAACGTTGAACGCGAAATCGTATCGGAGAACAATAAAGATAGCGACGATTCCAACAATGAAGATTCCGATGACCCCCACGTGGAATCCGAACGGATTATGGTGCCATCCGGTGAATATCTAGCCGACAAACGACGACGAGCGAAAGCGCCGCATTTTAACTTATCAATTTCATTATATCAGTCGGACAAAACATATGTCGGTGATTTCAGATCCGTCGGAGTGGAACTCGGATCACATATCCTCGTGGATTTCATGGTGCAGTCGGACATTCTCTATAAAATCAAAACCGATCGCCGCGATACTTCCACCGACTGGAAAGGAATTGCTCAAACTATCTCTACAAGATTGGCAAGATATTTGTGGCTCGACGGAAGGATGCATTTTGGCGCGACACTTAGGACACCTCCGTCTACAGGCGACTGGCGTTCACACTCCCGATTTATTGCAAGAAAACAAGGATAGTAGAAAACAAGCTGGTAAGTAGTCAAACCGGATGTGCTTATAAATTCAAGATGGATCGATTCTTCCGATTTATTACACTTTGCATTTTCTGTTATTAATTATTACATTAGCAACGCAAACGTGAAAAATATACAGACTGGACCTGAAAATTCGTGAATTAAAATGTTATAGTGGGAAAGTTCGCGGACAATGAAGCAAATCGCTATCTTAAACAGTTGTTTGAATATATCTAAGTATTTAAAACTGGTTAATCACTAATATTTAGATTATGATTGCCTATCGGCTTATCTGTCGCACAGATGGTATTTAGTATCAGGATTTTACTATACGCATAAACTCTAAGGCTATGTTTCGTTATTTGGTACTGAAAATTTAGTATACGCAATGTGAATTATAAATTTTTAATATTAGCAGTGAATAACGAAACGCAGCCTATAATGGTCTAGAATAAAAAATTGTAAATATTCTTTATTATATAATTTTTTTTAAACTTTCTCGCTACAATATTTTAATTCGCAAATTTTGAAATATTCTCTCTCTCTCTCTCTCTCTCTTTCTATCTCTCTCTATGTTTTATTTAATTATATATTATATCATACATATACATATAATGAAATCAATTGTAACGGCCTTTTTTCTTGCCGGCAACTTTTTCACACTTACGCGCGTTCATTATAGAAAAACCTAGATTCATGCTATAAATCTAAATGACCCATAGCAAAGCTTAGAAAAGGTTAATAGAGGTCTGGTCTTGGACCTGTCAGGATTGAATAAAAGAGTGACCGGAAAAGGCTAACCGTTCCCCGAGGACCGATTCTGGTCCGACTCGAGCTTATCTAAATCTTTAACGATAGCTGCGATCTATTACAGATAAACGCGGTCCAGTAGAAAAGTAAATATCGCTCTCATCGAAAATAGTTTCGTTCCAAATCTTCTTCTCATCCCGCACGTGCGTTTACATAACTCCAAAGACAGGACGAATCCCGAGATGAAAATATGCCAAAATCCGATACGATAGTGGAAAATGAAAAGAAAAAGACCAGTTGTCAAGAACAGCTTAAATTTTATATATGCAAAAAAAAAGGGACTGTGATATTTGCTTAGCAGGAACACTTGATCGAACAATTGCGCATTCCAATATTTCAATACAAAATTCATCTTTCGATCTTTACTGTGCGCGATGCAAGAAAGTCACGGTGAAAAAAGCACGAGCAAATGAGGCGAAATAATTTCCTTTTGTCTACGCTCCACATGCCTTTCTTTTTCGTATAGACTTTCGAGTACCTTTGGACGCGAAAGAAGAAAGGCGAAAAGTGAGAGATACCGCGAGTCGTGGCAGCGTAAGCCCCGGAGATATATCGTCCGTTTGAATAACGTTGCAGCTTTCTCTCTCTCACACACACACTTTCTTTCTCTCTTTCTCTCTCCCTCTCTCTCTCTTTCTCTCGTCCTCTATGTGCGCGTCGGCCCATCTCGCCCCGGCAGCAGCCGTTTATTAAACGAATCAGTGTTATCGCGGTGAGAGTCCTCATGAATAAACCATCGAGTGTTTAGGGCGGCGGAAAGGTGGTGCCACGAGGGGTTACGAGCTTGCCGCGACCGCTTTTACCCCTCTTTCTGCTCTCTCTCTCCTCCAGGGGCAAGCTCTAACGGGGCTCGGGGATGGTAAGCTCGCCGCGGGACGCGACTATATTGTTTTCGTGATGAGCGGGAAACATTCTCTCTGGGAATCTTCAATGTACGCGGGATAATTTTACGCGCCGCATCTCCGTCACGTCGCATCCCCAAATTTCTCGCTGCATCGTTTTTGCGATATGCACGTACGTATGTGCGGCGTTTTACAGCTCACACTTTGCATCAGGCGCACACATACGCCTGTAGGCGCGTACGTTAATGATATTCCTAAACAAATGCATTGAAATTTCTGTTTATCGAATCCTTTGCAGTCTAGAAATTGAGTAATAAGCTAAAATGAAATTTTACGTGTAATTTTGTCGAGTTTACACTTTATTGTATATAAAATAAAGTATCAAATTGGAGTCAGTATATTGAATTGGAATTATATAGTAGAATATCTTTTTCCGTCAGTTTTTTAGAATTGGTTCCACAGTTTCATAAAAATTGCCGCTTCGCATTAGTAAAAGGAATTTTTAATTTTATACTTTACATTAAACAATGATTTATAATCGAATTTGAACACGTAAGTATTTTAATGTTTTCTTTACCTCGATATTTCGCATCTAACAATAAGACAAAAGGGGATGAGAAACATGTATTTTCCGCTTACATGCCTCTGTAAAACGTCAGGTAGAATAATGTTAAATTTATACGTGCAGAAAGATTCACACACACACACACAAAAAGATTTCTCGAATCGTACTTGAAAAATCCATTTACGAGATTTTTCGAACGAGAGAGAGAGAGAGAGAGAGAGAGAGAGAGAGAGAGAGAGAGAGAGAGAGAGAGAGTAGTAGTAG